AGTGACAATCCCTCCAGAGCAAACTGGCAGTTTAGTTCCATTCCATTCTTAACCCTTTTAGTGGTCTACGTTCCTTTTGCTTCTACACCAAGCTCACAGTTGCTATTATACAACACTTGCTTAAACAGGTTTCCTCCTTTTTATGATCAATCTGCTCAATCCCTCTCTGTGCCCTTGCCATACACAATCACTTGCAGCCTTGTTCATCTTACTATGCTCCATACAGTGGCATTCTATCTGGCCTGAGCCATTGTGTATATAATTCCCCCTCCCTGGAGGTGGTGGTAAGGGAGTATAATTGAGAATGATTGATTGTTCCAGGAGAGAGATTCATGTCCATCTACCACCAAGCAATTAAATTCAATGCAAGAATGTCCATGAGTGATCTCCTTGACACCACCCCCCCGCCGACTAAATATAGCCTTTAACTAGACAAGTAGGAGTCACTTAAAGGCCTCAACTTGCCACTTTCTCAATTACCTGCCTTCTGCAGGTGAGAAAGATGCTGGTTGAACTGACACCCTTTTTGTTTTCATTCATCTGTCCACCTTGTTAGTTGCAGCAATGTTAATTTAAAAACTGATTTCTTCCCAAGTGGAAATCTTATTCCCAGCATCAAATTAACTTGTGTTTTGGAAGAAGTCAATTTAACCATGCTTTCATGAATTAACAAAAAGAGACAGTTTATTACTAAGCAAAGAAGAATTAGCAATGTAACATACACATACACAGACACAGATTATAAATAAGAGGCAGATCCATAAAAATAAAAGTAAACAAAATATGTACAGATCATTTTCTGAGTTATTGAATATTGTGGCCATTTCAGTAGAGGTTACTGATAGCATCAACATTGGTATTTGAACAAAGGCAGAAAGGGCTGGAGAATCTCAGCAGGTCCAGTAGATTCTTTTGAGAGAAACAGAGTTAAGGTTTTGAGTATATTTTCTGTTTACTGTCAACAATGCTTACAGACCTACTGAGTTTCTCCAGTACTTTGTTTTGATTTCAAATTTCCAGCCTCCACAGAATTTTGCTTTTTTCCAGTTGAACAGTTGGCTTCGTAGTTTTGCAGATTAGTTGAGATTCTGCATTTCTGATTCCATGCAATTGTGCTATAATTCCAGCATTCAAGGCAAGAGAAAGTTCTTTTTGTTTTCCTGTTTCTTTTCTTCAATTTATTGAACGGTTGTAAAATTGTAGAGTTCAGCTATTCACATCTGTAATTTAATCATTTTGGTGTTAATTTAGAACTGACTATATTAAAATATGCTTTAAGGAAAAAGGACTGTAAATGCAACATGTAAAAAGCATTTGACCAATGAAATACAGCGCTGATATGCTTTAGTATAAAGCCTGCACCAATGCCTCTGCTGTTCTGAGGATTAAGGACTAGTCTAATATAGATGACAGGATGTTTTATTGTTACTCAGTATTTAAATCCCTTGTGCAGTGTATACATTCAAAATAAATCTCAGCTTAACTGCAAGATAGAATGGCCACATGGTGGCAAATTGCAGAGCATGACCTCCAGTTTCAGTTATTGAAACGGGATGTATAGGAGCTAAAATAGCGAAATTAAGTCAGTACATTTGCAAGGGCCAAGGAAATTGAGCTCATGTGACTGACTGGCAACATCTGAAAGAGCACCGAGAGACTGCACTGAGAGCGCTCTGGAGATAGAAGCTGTAGAAAGGACTCAGCAAATGAGGTAAGAAGATAATGCTGAGAAATGTCTACAGCACATTTAATAAAGAAGGGTCACTTTGTTTCTGCCCCTAGCTCAGTGCTGGTAATGTGATAAGTGATATGTTCAAGAAAATAACTTCATACAGATTGAATGAAGGTAGTATTTGTAACAAAAAAAACAGTTAAGGCAATGAAGGGTAATGATCAGCAGTACTGCCTTCGAGCTTTGTACTTCCTCTCTGCTGAACTAACTGATTCAGTAAGATGACTGTTTATCTTAGCGTATTTTATCAAGTTAATGAAAAATCTGATAATGAGAAAAAGATAAAGATTGAGAAAGTTAAAGCTTCAATGAACAGTATTTGAAGTTCTCAAATGGATCAGTTACTGGTGTTAACTGGTCAACTCTAGTGTCTGTAGTGCATGTGAGATATGTAGGGCAGGGTGGCCAGAAATAAACATTATTGCACAATTTTTAAACACAAAACTATGTATTAACTGTATTGGAAACTTTTAATGCTTATTACTACTTCAAGTATTCCTGCATAAGTAATCATTGTTCAGTTAGAATTATACATAGATGTATAAAATTGTTTCATATAAAGTATCGTTACATGGGCTAGTTGTAAATAAAGACTCGTAGTTAAATCCGCTACATGCAGTGGATTGGAGAAAAGTTTCGTGCACAATATGCTTGTTGGTCATTTTGATTGCCTGCTTTGAGGAGTATGCATCTTATGGCAGCTGGTTCTAGTGGGCTTATTTGATAGGCAAAATTTTATGCTCCCCTGGTGGACTGCTTGGTAGGTATGGGATGTGTAATTGCGTGTAGAACCAGTATCAGTGCCTACATATCTACCTCTCACCCCAATTTTACTCATGGTGGGAAGGCGTCAGGTACACTGCCTGTCCTCAGGTAAGTGAAGTACTTGTTTCTTTTTTACATTCATGGATGTCAGCATCACTGGCATTTATTACCCATTCCTAATTGCCCAGAAGGCAGTTAAGTGTCGACTACATTGCTGTGGATCTGGAGTCATGTGTAGACCAGACCAGGTAAAAATGGCAATTTCCTTTTCTAAAGGACATTAGTGAACCAGATGGGCTTTTCTGACAATGGACAATGGTTTCATGGTCATCATTGGACTCCTAAATCCAAACGTTTGCTGAATTCAATATCCACCATCTGCCATGGCAAGATATGAACCCAGGTCCCTGGGACATTACCAGGGTCTCTGGATTAATAGTTCAGCGATAATACCACTAGGCCATCACCTCCCTCTTTAAGTGGTCTCTTAAAGGCTTCTCCCTATGCAGTCAATTTTTTTCCCTGTGAGGGTAGACGTTAAAGGTCGCACTCCACTGGCTGTTGGCAGGAAAAGGGGTTTATCCCTTAGAAGGTCAGTGACCTCCTGTACTGAGCAACTCACTGGGAAGGCATTGATTCTTGCCAATATGACCCCCACCTGGGGTATCATATCAAGGAGGGACCCAGGCAGAGGGAAGTGGTGGCAGTTGGGGACAGAGCATGTAGGAAGGGGGCCATTAGGACTAGGAAGTGGTCAGCCAGCAGTAGGTATCAGTTGAGAGCTGCCCTGTTCGTGCCACTGGGAATGAGAGATTCAACTAGCCTCTCTCAGGAACCCAAGTCAAAACCCATCCTGGTTTGCTTGTCAAGCTCTGTGTGAGGTGAACCCCTCCACTGCTAAGGTGATAGCAGCAGCAGCAGCAGCATGATGAGGCCTTGAAAACCCACTCAAGGATCTCTATTGCTTGTGGGGTAGGAAGCCCATCCATGAGCATTGCCTGCCCTGGACCTAATCAGAAAGATGGTAGGGTACCCATCTGCCACCCTCCCACCAAATTAAATACCCCCAGCCACTAAATTCGCCGCAAGGTTCTGCCAAATGTTTCAGGTCAATGACTATTCATCAGCTTGAAATGATCATTGGCCTGAAACATTAGCTCTGTTTTCCTCTCTTGACAGACACTACTTAGCCAGTTGAGCATTTCAAGCTTTTTCTGGTTCTCTTTCTGTTTCTGTTTAATACATATTTTTTATGCCCGTTGCCTTGTTTAAAGATATACTTGTGTTTGCATTGTCTGCCACAGCATTATAAAACCATGTATTACTATTCATGATTTTAAATTCTCTCGGCATCTGTGCACTTCGAATAAAATTCTAATGCTGTGGACATAATCACCATTCACTGTTATTGTTTAAATTCTCTTTGCCTGACTAAGACATCATTGTTTTGAGATAAAGACCGGTTTGGCATCTATTGAGTAATAACTGAGTCAAAGATTATTAAGCACCACATTTTCCCTGCTTTTGAAACAATCACTAACATGCCAATGCACAGAATGCATTCCACTGGCTGTTTATTGTAATGTCATATTATCACATTTGTTTTCCATGTTTTTATTGGATACAAAATAGCAATTCTGATCTGTATTAGATCTTTATTGATTTGTTTTGAACCTGCATTTTGACATGTTCTCTGTTTTACTTGATATGATGTTACCACACCGTTTTCATCCAAGTGCAAACTTTAACTTTGGCACCCATATCATTATGGCCTCAACATATATTTATTGCTGAGGCTGCCTTTTGAGAACGGAGTCCAAATCAAAAATGACCTGTTTTGCAAGATGATGGCAACATCCAGCGCCATATTGGGGTACATGTGACAGTGAAGGGCTTTATGCCTAATTTAAAACACCTCTACATAATTAGGCTGCCTAAGTTGAAAGGGATTTAAACTCCTCCTCCAAATAAGTTTTCCACTGGATGTAGCCTAAGAAACAGTCACCATGAAAAAAGTGGGTATATCACCTTTTTTTGCAGTCGATGTGGATATAGGTAGAGCAGTCTAGATGCACTGCGCTGGAAATCTATGATCACCCTCTGCTCTCTCCTACTGTCCTTTTTTTTTTTCCCTCCCCTTCCCCCTGACCTGTTCCCTAAAGACTACTGTCCAAAATTCATGCTGAAATTAGCAGCCTGTACCTTGGAAGGCACAACAGGCCCTTCCAGCTCATCTGAATCACTGAGATAAAGCCCAGGGCACAATTGGGTCCTTCTCTAGCATCTTTGATGATTAAAAGGAGGTCATGCCTAATTTCTACCCCAAGATTTTCAGAATATTCTGCAAATTTGAGTCTAAATTTCAAACAAAATAAGAAAAGAAAATGGTGTACTGTATCATGAATGCATTGAGCTAGCTTCCACAGTACTGAGGGAAGAGGAATGATCAGATAATATGCTTCTTGTTAGATATGACATTACTGTTTATTTTTTTAAATTGCAGAGCTGAAAGTAAACGAAGAAAGGAACTCCTTTCCTAACCCCGGAAGGACAAAAGGTCTTGAGTGAGACAAAATGTCACAGTCAAGACTTGCCTTTGGATTGATTGTGTTGGGGCTTGTTGCTTTTGTGAGTCCTGGGTTAGCTGTCCTTTCTCAGCGATTGAAAGGCCGATTTCAACGGGATCGCAGGAATATTAGACCAAACATCATCCTCATTTACACAGATGACCAGGATGTGGAACTTGGTAAGAACAATTTAACATGTTTTTTTTTAATAAAATCAACTAGTTTACTGCCTTTATTGAATTGATACCAGTTAGTCAATATAGTAACCAATAAATCAGCCATCTGGCCTCATGGGCAGAAATGGTTTGTTTGTTTATATTGTCCTTTGCTTCCAGTTGCAATATTGTTTGTCTTCTGTACTTGTCCCTTTCCTATGTACAAATTTAGTGCGTCTTGACCCTTCTGCTTGGCAGTAGTTTGTTCGCTAAGTGATAAAATAGACTGACGTTGGGTTCAGTCCAAATATTCCTCTGGAATACTTCACTCATGACTTAACTCTGAGCCAAGAGATCCTTCACACACCCAGTAAGTGTGGCAGAGTGCTGGCCTGTGCCAACTGACTAAGCCATGACCAGACTTACTGCTTTTGCCAACTGGACATAGGATATTTTGGAATTCCCAGATCACAGAAGTCAGGATTCCAGTGTTTTTTTCTGTGAAAGTGCAAACTAGTAGCTTTACTCATGTTGGCTGAGGTGTTTGAAGAAGACAGTTACTGCTATGTTGCTTTGTTGCTCTGGCAACACCATACAATATTAGCACAATATGAGAAGCAACATGGTTATAGCGAATTAAATATTGACATGCCACATGAGAACATTTTGTCCATCACATTGGCACCAGCTAACTGAATGTGTTATCCATTTAGCCCCATATTGCTCATCTACTGTGTAATTCGTTATAACTATTTATATTTGAATTTCTTCTTTTGTGATAATTTGACATGTATTCCCCCTTGTTATTGACTATAACTTCCCCCCTGAGTTATTGAATAATGAAAACAAGTTCACCCTTGTATCTTATGAAAATCTGTCTCCGTACTAGCAGTAGAAGAATTTATGTACAGGGATCAGGATGTGCAATTCTCCTGTGCCTGGATGAAATGATGCACACTGGTGCTGCATGCGCTAAGTATACTACTGAGTGACTGCACATCTCAGTCTGTGGCCCTTGATTCAAAGCGAATATCAATTAAAGCTAGCCTACACTATTTAAAGCTAGACTGTACTCCTTGAAAGGATACTGCATTCTACCTGTAGTCAATATTGGAAAAAGCTTCAAGCAGGTTCGATGATGGTGCAATTTACAAGAGAATATGCCTCCAGGATTTTGGATGCCATTACAGAAGGGGGTGGGGTGCGGGAGAGAGAGAGAGAGAGAGAGAGAGAGACTTCCCCTAGGAATTGTGGGATCGTGTTCAACAGTGACCAGGATCGGTGAGTGGTGAAATTAACCTCTTTATTGAGCATCCACAGTGGCACAGTTCAAGATGGCGATGAAATCCAAACTACAGTTTTATAGTAGCCTCTTTTATACACCGTTTTTGCATACAATAAAATTTTAGCACTATAATATCACATAGTTGTATCAATTGTACACAAATTTGCGTGACATTTGTCCTGGGGAAGCAGGAGATGGTTTAAGCACTTGTTAAATGCTGCGTGTTACTCCTGACGGGATTAAAATGTCTATCTGGTCTGAGCTTATATAAGTAAGAGGGGTTAGTCCTTTTAGTCTTTTAAAGTTAGTAATTTTGGTAAAAATGCTAGACCTATATGATCTAAATAAGTGAGAAACTATACATGTTCAAAATTAAAAATATAGAGAATATTAAACTGATTGCCTGCATTTGGGTCATGAGATTTTATTTACTATTGCCGGTTTTGACCGTTCTTACACATTCATGCAGTTTCATGGAAGCGCTGTTTTGATAGTAAGTTTCTTCAACGGGGTAGCAGCCCTATTTAATGTGTATTAAAAAGTATTAATCCGTACGTTAGTATGAGATGGTAGTCCTAAATAAAAATTAGAAATTGGTAGTGTATAAGGAAAAAGATAAAGAGATAAAAGAGCAGCAGATCGTAGGGACATGCTGGTGGAAGAAACTGTTTGATGTCCTGCAGCCTACTCAGGTCCCAAGAGATGGTTACTAAGGGCTAATTAATATTATAATCTTTCTATAGTTTCGAATGAGTTATGGAAACATGATGGCGGGGATGGCATTGTGCTGAGTAGGTTACAGTATTAACACTTATTCGGGGGCAGCCTTTGATACAGAAGCTGTTCTAAACACTGCTTGCAGCGTGGGGCTGAGAAGAATTGAAAGGTGTGAAGAAACAGTAATGGGTTGGAAGGGATGTTTAATTTAATTTATCTTGTAAAATTAAAATGTGCTACAAAAACGTGGTTATATGAATGAGTGAATGGAAATGAAGTATAGTAAACATAGAGCACTTGTGAATGAGTTAGTAAAGAGAATCCTAATATAATGTCTCACAGAACCTTTCCAGACAGCTGTTCAGATAGGAAGAAGAGATGACCATGGTACTTAATGCCCACAGTCTAATGCCAAGGTCATGGATGTAATGTTGCGGCAAATTTAGTGACCTTTAAATGAGTGGTCAAAATCAGTGAGTATATTCCCTTATGTACCAGTTCTTGCAAACTTTAAAACTAGCTTCATGTACTGCTCTCTTTCACAAACCTCCCCCATCACTATCATTCCTCTGTATCACAAGTCAATTGTCCTTAACATTGTTTCACCTCATACTCACGCACTTAACATTGCTCACATCTCACAGCTTGTGCACACTGTCTGTTCTTTGAATGTAGCATGCACATTACATGTGGCACCATGCTTACAGACATACTTGCCTGCTTTGAATAGGGCATTCTAATGCAGCATGACCAGTATGCAGGAGGTGGTACTGGTAAGAAATGGAGTGACTGTCACTGTTCTTGGAAGTGTTATGGGGATTGCTGAGGTCCTGCACTGGGGGAGCTGCAGTGACTCTATGGTGTACAAACCTGCTGTAACTCTTTCGGCGATTAGTATTTGTCCTCCCACCACTGATAGTGAGTCTGTCAACCAGCCAATTTAGACTAATCTTGTCCATGACCAGAGAATGCAGTCCATAGCTAACTCCCCATTACTCATGAGTGTCCTGCAAGGCCAGTTGCAGTCTCCTCCACTTGGTGTTTCCAACGTGGCTGTTTGAAGATTTCTGTCGCAGGAGCAGTGTTACGTAGGAACACTAGGCCAAGTAAAAACACCTGCAAATGGGCGCTAAGAGAATGCACAAAGGTTTGTGTGTTAGAAGTGTTGTTAGTTGAACCTTTTCTGGATTTGTTACTTTTCATAGAATCATAGAATCCCTACAGTGTGGAAACAGACCCTTCAGCCCAACAAGTCCACACTGACCCTTGGAGCATCCCACCCAGACCCATCCCCCTATAATTCATGTAATCTACACATTGCTGAACATGATGGGCAATTTAGCATGGCCAATCCACCTAACCTGCACACCTTTGGACTGTGGGAGGAAACTGGAGCACCCAGAGGAAAGCCACGCAGACACTGGGAGAATGTGCAAACCCCATGCAGACAGCCACCCGAGGGTGGAATCGAACCCGGGTCCCTGGCGCTGTGTGGCAGCAGTGCTAACCAGTGAGCCACTGTACCACCAATTGGTACCTTTTTATTTCAAACTTCTGGGCAAGGGGACCCTGTGCTAGTCAGTAAGAGAGCGATGACATGCTGGGGAAATGTTGAGCAATGGGAACCGGGGGAATTGTTCAGGGCATCCTGAGTCTGATAGTGTATTCTTGCATACCATTTTGGAAGATTGACTGTTGGCCACCTCCTCCATTCTTCACAATCATCTCCTTCCTTCAATCCCAATGTCCACTTCTTTCTCCAATATTCATAACTCTTTTTTTCCTCATCCATTTTTCATGTTCTTCAGCCTCCCAGTGCTTGTATTACCTCCTCCCCCATTACTCATGGTCTTTCTCATCCTCCATTCCAGTACTCTTTACTACTACTTCTCCTCCTCCTCCTCTTTCATACAAGTGTTTCCTCCTCATTCCTCATGCACTGTCCTCCTCCCCCTCCATTTCTCTTGCATCGTCCTCCTCCATTCCCTGTGCTCCCCCTTCTCCTCCATTATTCCTCCTACATCCCTCCACAACCATCAAGTATATTTTCTTTTTTCATTCTCTGCTTGTCCACAATTACAATAGTTACAATTGACCTCATTAGTCCAGTTGCCAATAGCAAGTATTTTTGAATAAGCATCAATCAGTGTGCTGAGAAAGCCAAACCACTAACTCTTGACATGACCAGCATTTTGTATGTAATCCACAGATCCATTTATATCCGTATAATGTACTACTTCAGATCCAAATAAAATTCTGCCCTTTTTTACAGTAATACAATCCATACATTTTAGTTAATCTTAATGGTGTCAACTGAGCTGAACCCATCTTGCAGTGAAAGAAGATCCCTTCAATCACAGTAATACGTTTTGACTAAATGTTAAAAACAGATTCTGCATTTTAATGTTGTTGGAATGTTTTGAAACACTGCAAAAATATTAACCAATTCATTCGCTTTTTATTACTAAATCTATAGTAAGTCTTTTTCAGACTCATTCAGTTAGTCCCAGAGCAATGAAATTGTCATCAATTTGATCACATTCTCAGACAAATTATACATGGGGGAGAGCTTTCTACATAGCAACAGACCATTGTGGGGAATCCAGTGTATTGTGTATTTGTTCTCTTGTCATAGAGTTGACAAGAGTACAAACGCATTATGCATATATCACATAACCAGTATAGATAGCTGGCCTTGCATCTTCAGCTCATTTTTATAGTTAGAATTTATTGTCTACACATTTTGTTCATCGGGCAGGGAGCATAGCTGAGCAGGCATTTTTGAAAATTTAAAGAACTAGTCATGTAAAATGAATGTAGCATACTGGGGCATTATTTCATACTATCTTAAAGCTTAAAAATATTTATAAGTATTCAAACACTTCCGAAGGTTTTACATGGAGGAAAAAAGAAGTAGACGATTAAAATCAAAGGATGGGCAATTTGATTTATAGGCATTAAACAGATCCTGTGAACAAAGGGGAAAATGTGGCCTACCACCAGATTGTCTCTGATAATTGGC